ATGCCTAGTATGTACCCAAAACTGTCATTACGTTGTATGTGAAGTGTCTCACTGCAGAACGAAGCTTAGTTCTTAACACTGGGCTTTGGTCTAGGCTTCCAAAGTCATTTTTAAGCAGAACACTAATAGCTAGCTATATTTATTTCCATTAGCTGCTCTCTCCTCTCTCCTGGGTCTTTTGTTTATACTTTATAGAATGATGGGATGAGTTTTGAAATGAAAGCAGAATCGTGAAGGATCCCCAGAAGGAGGGCAGGTGTCCATCAGTTTCACAGGAGCTTGATTAAGTAGATTGATCCAGGTGAGTCCTACACTGCTCACATAACCTTTTGGGGCCCTTGAAAGTGACTTAGTCGGCTGGGCATGGTGGCTCACGCCTGTAATGGCAGCACTTTGGAAGGCTGAGGCAGGCGGATCACCTGAGGTCAGGAGTTCAAGACCAGCCTGACTAATATGATGAAACCTCGTCTGTCCTAAAAATACAAAAATTAGCTGGGCATGGTGGCATGTGCCTGTAATCCCAGCTACTTGGGAGGCTGAGACAGGAGAATCACTTGAACATGGGAGGCAGAGGTTGCAGTGAACCGAGATCGTGCCACAGCACTCCAGCCTGGGCAACAAGAGTGAAACTCCATGTCAAAAAAAAAAAAAAAAAGAAAGTGACTTTCCTCAGGCTTCTTTCAGACCGCTACCGAGAGAATGGCAGATGAAAGGCACCTCTGGAACCGGGCTGTCCCAATTCAGATCTGGGCTCCACCACCAGCCAGAGTGACCTGGCATATCACTGAATCCCAGGACCTGAGTTTCTTCACCTGTAAAATAACAATAAGAAAAGTACCTACCTCGTCGGGTTTTTGAGATGATTAAATGAGATGATCCATGCGCAGTACTTGTGACAGTGGCTGGCACATGGTCATTACACGATCGATAAAGCGAGCTGCTGCAGCGGGGAGGGGGGATTGTTCCTCTGTGTCGCATCTGAGAAAATGTAAACCAGCATTTTCCCCTGTGCTGTGAACGGCCACCATGTTGTTTCTTTTTAATTGTGGTATTGAAGGGCTTGGGTTTTTAAGGTTACTTTTCAGTTAGCCTTTCAGTCTGTCTCTGTGGCCTCAAGCACTCACCTCCCCTAGAGCTGGTCATTCTAGGGTCATGACCACTATAAAAGAATCTCCTGCAGAGACGTTCTGCCACATTTTCCCCTCCGCTCTCTAGGCAGCTTAGCAGCTTGTCTGCCTGTCGTCTTATTTCATTACCTAATTCATTATTAGCTGTGACCTACTGAGAGTTTTGAGGCATTAGAGAATGAGGGGCTATGAGGAGTCAGGTTCAATCTGAGAGCAAACTGTGTTGTGGGTGGGAATTTAGAAAAAGTATTTCCTGTTTGCAGAGGGGAAGGAGGTATGTATGTGGCTTTTCCTTTATCTCTGAAGCCAAACTTTGATTTAGGCAAAACTTTTAAATATTAAGGACCTCCAGTGTGAAACAGCTTAAGTGGTGGCAAAAGACTGGCTGAGGCTATAACAGATATAGGGAAAGATTTGAAAGTGAGGTGGAGGGCATACAGGGAGAAAAGGGGGAAATATGCTTCTCATTCCACTCGTCCTACTTCATCTCCACCTTCATTGCCACCAGAAAATTACAGAAGCGCCTGTAGGAGGCTTCTAGAATACCGAAAAGACATGATTGTGTTACGAATTATACAGAGTGGCCCGTGTCTCTCTCAATGATTTGATCCTCTCATGTGTTAGTGTGGAAAGATAATTAGGAAAGGAAATGTTAGGGTTTTGATTTCAGGATCTTAGTAGTTGTAGAGAGTAAGAAATGAACAAGCAGAGCTCAGACTTCTGTGACAGTCTGTGTCTTCGAGTATGATTTGGAAGGCTTCGTGTCCAATATCCCTAGGAGTAGAATCAGCCCTGTTCTTGAGAACTTGGTCTGTAAGGTGGCAGTGGATCATGGTTGTTTTCCTATATCAGAGCTTGATACGTTTGTTAAGAGGTCTGTGGCCAGGCACGGTGGCTCACGCCTGTAATCCCAGCACTTTGGGAGGCCGAGGCGGATGGACCACCTGAGGTCAGGAATTCAAGACCAGCCTGACCAACATGGTGAAACCCCATCTCTACTAAAAATAGAAAAAATAGCCAGGCGTGGTGGTGCGCACCTGTAATCCCAGCTACTGAGGAGGCTGAGGTAGGAGAATCGCTTGAACCTGGGAGGCTGAGGTTGCAGTGAGCTGAGATCATGTCTCTGCACTCCAGCCTGGGCGACAGAGCAAGACTCTGTCTCAAAAAAAAAAAGAAAAAAAGAGGTCTGTGGATCCTGAGAGCCCCGGTTTGTTTTCTTCCTTCTAGCGGATATGGTTACTGCTCCCACTTTCACCTCTGTGAGTCACTGAGCTTCACACTGTGCTGGCAGCCGTGTTAACCCAACACCCCTCCCTGGGCTCTCAGAGACCATCAGGACCTCGCTTTCCACTGGATTTACTTTAATGCTGAGTACTACAAGGTCATTTCCAGGGTGGCCACTGTTTCTTCCTCTCACACTCGCTACAGTTTAATTTTTAGCTCTTAACACTGGACTTTGTTACATGGAAAGAAAGAAATTTGCTCTAACAGACAGCAGCAAATGCATTTTTCTGTCTTTCCAATTGGAAAATCACTCCTAACCAGTTTTATCCTGGGGGATTTAGTGGTCTGAGAATACTTTTATGTTTTTAGATGTGAACAGAGATTATGTTCATATTTAGTTGCTCCTCCTTTATTTTTTGTCTGACCCTAATTTGGCATCTGTAGATGGAAACTGTTATTTCTCTTCAGGGCTGCCATGTGTCTTTGTGACATTACCCCTAATTTGCTTCCGAATATGCAATAAAAGATAAAAGCCATGATTAGGCTCAGTATACATTACTAATTTTCTTGAACTTTCCATGCCCTAAATGCCTGTTAATCTCGTGGTGCCCACGTCTTCCCTGGATGGTGGAGTGTGGCCGGGGTGGCATTGCCCTTTAATCAGTTGGAACATAGACTCAGAGGAGAGATGTGACCTCCTCAGGTTATACAGGGAGCAGGTAACAGGATTGGAGCCCATGTTTCCTGATTTCATCCCACTGTTCTTTCTAGGGGGCACTTCTCTCTGGGAGTATAAACAACACAATCACAGTAATTACTGCCATTGATTGAGCATCAAATAGATGCTAAGCCCATATATGATGTCTAATTTTCACAACAATTCTGCAAAGTAGAGTTTTATAGATAAAGAAACTGAGACTGAGAGAAGCTAAATTCCTTGCCTAAAGCCACTCACCTAGTCTTGGGCAGAGTCCAGATTGAGCCCAAGTGTGTCAGAAGCCCTGCCCTGTGTTCTTACTGCATGGCAGAGGGTTGGTCACAACTCCAGTGATAAATAGTAAGAAATCGGAAATCTGCATGTCAGCCCTCCCATCCCTTCATGTGATAGCAGATGATGACTCTGTGGCTGCTCTGTGCGGCACAGTACTGGGCACTGGTGAGCAAGACAGACAGGGAGCTGACCGTAGCAGCTCTCATTTCCATGAAGCTTTCCCTCTCGCTCCGCATACCCACTCCTGCACATCCCCCAGCCTCCTTCATTACCCAGTTTTGCCTGTGCATGATGCTCTGATGCCCCCTTCCTTTCTGTTTCTGTAGCCACATCAGGACAAGGGCCACATGACGTTGTCCCCTGGAGACCGGCCCTGTGCGTGGTACCTGTGGGCCTTCCTGTGCTCTCTAGTTAGTAGTGCTGAGTGAGAACCTGCAGAGTCCCGTGCATCTACTATGTGTTCTGCGTGCATTACCTTCTTGAATCTTCATAGCCACTTTATGTGGTATAGCTATAGTCATTATCCCCATGTGAGCAAAAACAAACAAGCAAGCAAAAAGTACCCACCTCAGAGAACTTGCCTAAGATTGTGCTGCTCATAATTGTTAAAGCCAGGGTTTGGGCTTAGGCTGATGAACTCTGGAGTGCAGGCTCTTACCCACCAACCTGTACAGTGCAGACGCTTGGGACAGGTTCATAATATAGGGCAAAGAAAAATGTCTTTCAACTAATCTTATACATAAACAAAAACGCTTCTGAAATCAACTTTTAACTATGGGTATCTCTGAATTGTAAGAAAAGCTAGTGTGTACTGAACCCTCGCCTGGTTCTAGGCAGGCGACACTTTAAATATATATCTCATTTAATTTTTGGTAATCTCAAAAGGTAAGCATTACCCCTTCCTTCCCACAGGTGAGGCAGCTGAGGTTTAGAGAAGTGAGGTGACTTGCCTAAAGTTACATAGCAGGTTACTGTCAGAACTAGTATCCAGATTCTCCTCTGACTCCAAAACCTATGGCCGCCTCCCCCAGGATTCCATTTCTTCTCTCTGCATGTGAGTTGGATCAGGTCCACTGAGAGAAAAACCGCAGTTTGGCAGGTCCCACCACAGTAACAGGTGGAACAAAACAAGGCTGCTGTAAGAGCAGGCTAGACCGGCCCTTTTCCCAAAAGCAGCAGATGAATCTTGCAACCCCATAGGTAGCTACCAGCTTTATAATGAAACAGGGAGAGGATGAGATTTTTAAATGACAGTGCATCTCCTGTTACCAAGACAGAGAAAAGGGGTATCTTTGCTGGCCATGTGAAGTGATGGACATGGGAATGCAAGGCTGGAAGGAACTAACTAGCTCTGCATAGTGATGCCAAAGAGGGATCAAGAAACCTGAAAGGAACCTGTACATACGGGACATTTGGAGACTCCATTGGGAAAAGGGTCCACAGACAGGTCAACCTGCAGCCACACACCAAGGAGAGTTCTTAGGGGACGTGCCAATTTCTAACTCATGTTCAGTATATATGTCACTAATTGCTGGTAGCATGGATTGTTTTCAGAAGAATGAAGGAAGCACCATATTCTGCTTCAGCATCGTGTAGAGCACATTCAGAGGCTGCCTAGCCACATGATGTTGTTAATCGTATCGGTTTTTATTCTTCAGGGAACCTCAGAACCTATTCTGGATCCACAGCAAATCCAAGCATTTGATCAGCTTTGCCGTCTCTACCGAGGAAGTTCCAGGGTAATGTTTGTGTGGTTGTTTATATTTTCATTTCCCTATTTATAATTTACTGCTTTAGAAAGGCAGTGTCTTGGAACCTCCCTCTAGCCTCCTCCTAACCTGGAAGGTGCCCTGGCATCCCTGTTATGGCTACATGGACAACAGACCCTGGCCCTAGGGAGCACTCCGAGCTTGGCAAAGAGAGCAAAGGAAGTGGAAAGCTGTCTGTCCCTTACCTACCATGACCTGTGAGGACACAGAAGGGCTTCTGTGTTTGACCTCCCTCCAGAGAGAGCAGGCCAGAAGGCTGATCCCAGGAGGGCTTTGCTTAGGATATGGATAGGTGCCCAATCTGTCCGAAGCCCTAGACCCTCCTGGGCATCTGCATTGGTTGAATTCGTTTTGGCCATGAAAGACAAATGCAAAGTAGTAGTGGTTTAAGCAAGAGAGAAGTGTAACTGCAGCCAGCCAGGGCACATCCACGCACCTCCCTCCAGCTTTCGTGTGTCTTGTGCTCTGCCTTCCTTAGCACGTGACTTAAACTTCTGTGGTTCAACCTGGTTGCTTCCACTTATCTCCACTGTCTAGAATTTAGACCCATGACCATGCCTCACTGCAATGACTGGGAAAATTGGATTTTATTCCAAAAGACCTCAGGCTACAATTCTTGGTCTACTCTAACTGGGGAAGAAGAGCACAGACTGGAGGGCTTCTAGCAGTCGCTGCCACCACATCAGACCAGGTGTCCCCCAGGCACTTCAGAAGCATACTCATCGCTTTCTCGACCTGTTCTTTGCACCTGGTGCCTGCCTCAGGAACAACACCTCTGTCTTCCAGCCACCCAGAGCAGAGACCTGGCAGCACTAGGCTCACCCCTCCCCTTCCTTCCACCCAACTGGGGACATCCTGTGGGATCTTCTCTACTAATCCCCTTTTGCCACTACCCCCAGTGGGGCCGCCTCATCACTCACGGAGGCCACTGCAGGTCTTCTGATTGGCTAGAAACCCTTCTGTCCCTTCTCCATGCTGCTGCCTGGCCACCCTTTCTAAACCCAAATGTGTCATACCCTTGTTTATGACACATTCTGGATCTCCACCACCTAAAGAATGAGTCCAAACCCTAGCATCTCCACTCCCCAGATCACACCTCAATTCTAGCTGGTCCCATTTGTTTCTGAGCTTATCTCAAGCTTGTGCAAACTGCTGTGTCCTCTGCTTCTCTACCTGGGCCCCCTTCACGCACTCCCCATTCTTAGGCAGAACCTACTAGGTTACTTGGCAGCCAGAGAAAAAAGTGGTGTTCCTTCTTTGAGAGTTGGTCTGGGCAGAGGTTGTTATTCCAGGAAGCTTCTCCAGGGGTCTCCTGGATGCAGTCCAGCAGCTTTATTGAACTGGCCTCACCCCATCCCTTTCCAGCCTCAGCCAAGCTCTGCCCCAAGAGTTGGGTTTCTGGGGCCTTCCAAGGAGGTTCTTCTGCTTCAAACTGTTGAACTCTGATTTAGGGCTCATTGATTTCCAGATCACAAAGTTACCAAAGTAGAACACAAAAATACCTCTTTTCCTGGGATATATATATATATTTGCAATTGATCTTCCCACCTCACAGTGTCAGAATGTGAAAGCATTGAGTTGAGCATCTGTTGCCCATTCTGTTCAAGGCATCGTACATAACAGTCATTGCAGAGAACGTCGCAGGCTGATGGGCAACTGAGAGGGTTATGGAAGAAAGGAAGTGGCACAAAGTGGACTCGGACAGAGCAAGGGACATCTCTTGGCCCCTGGCGTATTGCTTGAGTGGGCCTGCTCAGTAACTTGCAGTTAGAGCTTGAGTCAGAGTTACTGAGTTTAAATGACACCATACATGTGTCTCTGGCCAGGACCTGGATTACTTGTGATAAATTGACACTTAGAACTTTGGGGCCTTTAGATGTCTTCCCAGTTACCACAGCCACTGGTACTGAGTTTTCCACAGAAGTGACACATGGACACATGTGAACTTGTGCCAACGTTGCCTGTGAGGGAAAAACCCTTTGCCAGAGGTCGGAGGCACCTCAAAGACATGGTGCCTGGCGGGTGAATCCCACATCGCTATTCACTGCTGGTGACCGAGGGCAAGTCACTTCTCAGGCTGCAGAGTTTCTGCCCCAGAGGTATGTTGTGAAGGATGAGAAATAACACACGTCAAGGACCTAGCAAAGTACCTATCATGGAAAGACACTTGATGCAGTCACGAGAGGCTGTTAGACATCCCCTCGGACTCCTGGCATGTTTAGTAGACACAGACAGGGCTGCCCTGAGGAGTCTGATGGCCCGCTTGTCTCAGCTGTGAGCTCTCCATGGGCCAGGCTTTCACTGGCCTCCATGTGAGCCTGCGCAGGGTCCCTTAGAGTATTGGTAGTGGGACATGGTGGCCCGTCCCACAGGTCCCAACTGCTGTTATTAGGGACCGTATTGACCTGGGTTTGTGGGGTGGAAGTTAACTCACAAGGTTCTGGGAAGCAACAGGCAAAGACCCTAATCAGTCAGGAAGTCTAAGGACCTTGGGTGTAGAATTCTTATCTCCTCTGACCTTCAGGGGTACCTCAAGAGCCAGGCTGCCAGCTCCCTGCTTTTGCAGAAAGCCTCTTTAGGTGAAAGGGATGGTCCCCCCGAGGGGCAGAGTGCTAGCATCCCAACAGGCCGACATTAGCATCTCCTCCTACCCTTCTGTCCTCCTCGACAGGTCTTCCAGAATTGAGCCACTGACAGAACGAGGGTACTGCTAATGTCATTGGTGGGAATAAGGAAGCTGGGAGCAGGGAGGACTCGCTTGAAGGAGAAGGTAGAATCCAGGGGTTCCACTCTGGAGCCCCTGAGTTTGAGTTGGCAGAAGAGAGGTCAGAGTCAGCGGTCATAATTAGTCATTCACCCCCAAGGAGAGTGCACCAAGGTGGAGAGCCTGGAATGAGCAGAGCTGAGAACAAGCTCCTCAGCACAGGGCACATCCACAGGGAGAGAAGGGCGGCAGCAGGGGCAGCTGGAGGAGCCCTCAGCGCAGGGCCAGCCCAGGGTGGGAGAGCTCTCCAGTGCCAGGGAGAGCACAGTTTGTGTGTCCTTGGGAGCAAACCAGTCCAGTCTCATTATTGAATGAGGAAATTAAGGCCCCAAAGTCACACTGCTAGTTTGTGATATATGGACCTAAGATCCAGACCATGCATGTTACTATTCCTGCAACATAGCACTGTCTCTCATGTACCTGAAGCAGTGGATTCAGGAGCCTCTCTTCCCTCTGCTCTCCACAAACCTTAGCTGATGTGTGTCCTTCCTTTGCAGCTGGCTCTTCTCACGGAACTCTCCCAGAATCGCAGCAGCGAGAGCTATAGGCCATTCAGTGGCTCGCAGAGTGCTCCTGCTTTCAATAGCATCTTCCAGAATGAGAACTTCCAGCTGCAGCTCATTCCCCCACCTGTGACTGAGGATTGATGACTCTGTGGAGCCTAGCCCAGGAGAACCAGAGATGATCCCAAGGCCGCTGGAGAGAGACCCCGCCTCTGGTGGGCTTGGCCTCCACCGCCTCCCACGCTTCTGAGAAGAGGTTCCAAATTGGGATCCTGTGCCCAGAGCGTCCACAGCACCATTCCCAGCGTAGACTCCCAGTCTTCTCCACATCGTTGTCATGGCGTCAGTTCACCAGACTCGTTGATTTTGTTTTGCCTGTTAAGCAAAGGAATGTCACATACCTCTGTCCAGCTTTTTAGGAAACACATTTTGCCTATTGGGACTTTTTCCATTTCACCTGAAGCCTAGAAAGTAGATGGAACTCACACAAATGGCATTCCAGAGTCTGCTGTACTCCGTCTCCTCCAGCTGCTGGATAATACAGAGGAACTTCAACTTCTACAGGGAACAGTGGTTGGCCAGGCTGCAGTATAACTGAAACATGCCTTGGAGAGAGCAGAGACACTGTGGGGGCCAGGGCCATCTCCCTTTTAATGTGTTCGTGTTAAAACCTATTTGAGTATAAGACTTGCCCTTTCTAACAATAAATGCTCTGTGTTTAAGTTCTGCAGGTCTCCTGGCTGGCTGGCTTAGTCTGTCAAGTCATGGAGGACATTTAGAGCCCTGTTGTCACAATTTTATTAGCTCAAAGTCAGGAATCCTGACTATGACAACCCTCCTTAATTCAGATAAGCAGCTCCATCGTCAGCTCTATTCAGAGCAGCCCAGCCACCCAAATGCTCCTGTGACAGGGGCTGGGCTGCCAACGAGAATAGTACTTAACTCAGTTTTTGGCTATAGGACTTCATGTATCATTGAACCAACCACCACAGGAGGTCACCACACCCAGAGACCTAGGTTTCCACCTTACATACTCAGATGATCCTTTTCTCAGCGCACTGGAATGATTAGGCTCTCATGGACTGATACTAACCAAACCCACAGGAAATAGATACATAAACTAGATACAATTTTTTTTTATTATTTTATTTTATTTTTTGAGACAATTTCACGCTTGCTGCTCAGGCTGGAGTGCAGTGGTGCTGTCTCGGCTCACTGCAACCTCCGCCTCCCAGGTTCAAGTGATTCTCTTGCCTCAGCCTCCCGAGTAGCTGGGATTACACCCACCCACCACGCCCAGCTAATTTTTTAATTTTTAGTAGAGATAGGGTTTCACCATGTTGGCCAGGCTGGGCTCAAATTCCTGATCTCAGGTTATCCACCTGCCTTGGCCTCCCAAAGTGCTGGGATTACAGGCATGAGCCACTGCACCTAGCCAATACAAATTTTTTTTTTTTTTTTTTTTTTTTTTGAGACGGAGTCTCGCTCTGTCGCCCAGGCTGGAGTGCAATGGCCGGATCTCAGCTCACTACAAGCTCCACCTCCCGGGTTTACGCCATTCTCCTGCCTCAGCCTCCCGAGTAGCTGGGACTACAGGCACTCACCACCTCGCCCGGCTAGTTTTTTGTATTTTTTAGTAGAGAGGGGGTTTCACCGTGTTAGCCAGGATGGTCTCGATCTCCTGACCTCGTGATCCGCCCGTCTTGGCCTCCCAAAGTGCTGGGATTACAGGCTTGAGCCACCGCGCCCGGCCGCCAATACAAATTTTTAACCCTTAAATAGAAAATAGATCTTGTTTCTGCCATGTACTACCTATAATCAACAATCAGTTAACCTCTCTAATCCTCTGTTTCTTTATAAACAGAACTGTTATGAAGATGAAACAATACATGTAAATGTTTGCTGTGTGCCATTCAGGCACATGGCAAATACCCCAGAAATGCAAGCTTAGCTTTTATTATATAACTTCTCCCAAGACCTGGGCTACAAGGGTACTGCTTCCTGATGAAGGTGCCAGGATATAAAATTGAGGGAAGTGGTTAAACCATTAAGTCGTCACTGTTTGGATGCCTGCCACAGCTATATGACAGTCTCAAGCCGTTTACAGGTGAGAAAGCTGAGGCTCAGAGGTGATAAGTAATTTCACCAAGGTATCATACTGAAGAGCTAGCAGAGCAGGCGGAATTCGGAGCTGTGATTCCAGAGCCAGTGATGCTTCCTGCCCCAAGTTATGTATCAAAAGATTTCTCACTGAGCCTAAAATTAAGGCCAAAGGAACTTGATATTCTCAAAGCAAAACTCAGTTATTCCCCTTCATCTTTTATAGTGTAAAGAACTAAGGCAAAAGGAGTATTCAGTATAAAAATGTAAATTGTGACATCAAAAACATGAAATGTATATGGGAGGGGTGAAGTAAAAGCAGAACTTTATGCAATCAAAATAAAGTTGTAATAAATTTAAAATAGCCTGTTACAAACTCAGATGTTGGCCGGGCGCAGTGGCTCACACTTGTAATCCTAGCACTTTGGGAGGCCAAGGAGGGCGGATCATGAGGTCAGGAGTTCAATACCAGCCTGGCCAAATGGTGAAACCCTGTCTCTACTAAAAATACAAAAATTAGCTGGGAATGGTGGTGCGTGCCTGTAATCCCAACTACGTGGGAGACTGCGGCAGAAGAATCGCTTGAACCAGGACCTGGGAGGCAAGGGATGCAGTGAGCCGAGATCGTGCCACTGCACTCCAGCCTGGGGTACGGAGCGAGATTCCATCTCAAAAAAATAAATAAGATGATTTATGTAAGCTTCATGTAGCCACAAAATAAGAAATTAGGTAGATAAAAAGCAAGGAATAAAAGTATACCATTAGAGAAAATCATCTAATCAGAAAGAAAGCAAGAGAGGAAGAAAGGAACAAAGGATCTACAAAACAATGAACAAAATTGCAGTGATAAGTCCTTACCTATCAGTAATTACCTTGAATGTGAATAGATTAGATTTGCCAATCAAAAGAGAGTGGCTGATTGGATTAAACATAAGATCCAACTATATGCCACCTAAAAGAGACTTAATTCACCTTTAAAGACACACGTAGCTTGAAAATTAAAGATGGAAAAAGATACTCTGTGCAAAGGAAACCGAAAGAGAGCAGGAGTAGCTGTACTTCGATAAAATAGACTTTAAGCCAAAAACTGTCAAGTGAGACAAAGTTATATAATAATAAAGGGATGGATTCATGAAGAACATATAACAGTTGTAAATATATATGCATCCATTATCAGAGCACCCAAATCTATAAAGCAAATATTAATAGATCTGAAGAGAGAAACTGAAATACAATAATAGGGGACTTCAACAAGGGACACATTTTCCAGACAGAGAATCAGTAAACACTGGACTTGAATTACACATTAGACCAAATGGACCTAACAAACATACACAGAACATTCCATTCAACAGCATGAGAATACACATTTTTCTCAAGTGCACATTGAACATTCTCCTGGATAGACCATATTTAGGCCACAAAGCAAGTCTTAACAAATTTTAAGATTGAAAATCATATTTTTTCTGACCACAATGGTATGAAACTAGAAATCAGTAATAGGAATTTTAAGAAATTCAGAAATCTGTGGAAATTAAACAACATGTTCCTAAACAACCAATGGGTCAAAGAAGAAATAGGAAAATTTAAAAATATCTGGAAACAAATGAAGATGGAAACATCCCATAAAAATATCATTTATGGTATGTGGGGCGAAAGCAGTTCTAAGAGGAAAGTTTATAGCAATGAAGTCCTACATCAAGAAAGAAGAAAAACTCCAAATAACCTATTGGCATAGCAACTTAAGGAACTATAAAAAGAACAGACTAAGCCTAGAGTTAGTTAAAGGAAGAAAATAATAAATACCAAAGCAGAAATAAATGAAATAGAGACTAGAACTAGAAAAATAATTTTAAAAAATCAGTGAAATTAAGAGGGTTTTGTTTGAGACAGGCTCTTGCTTTGTCACCCAGACTGGAGTGCAGTGGCACAATCACTGCTCACTGCAGCCTCTCCCTTCTGGGCTCAAGGGTTCCTCCCTCAGCCTCCCAAGCAGCTAGAACTACAGGGGCATGGTACCATGCCCAGCTACTGTTTTTTGTTTTGTTTTGTTTCATTTTGGATGAGGCAGGGTCTCACTGTGTTACCCAGGCTGGTCTCAAAAAACTCCTGGCTCAAGTGATCCTCCCACCTCGGCCTCCCAAAGTATTGAGATTACAGGTGTGGACCACTGTGCCTGGCCAAGAGTTGGTTTTTTGGAAGGATAAACAAAATCAATAAACCTTTAACTAGACTAAAAACAAGAAGACTCAAAATCAGAAATGAAAGATAAGACATTACAGCTGTAAGAAGGATCATAATAGATGACTGTGGACAAGCATACGTGAACAAATCGGATAGCCTAGGAAAAATAGATAAATTCCAAGACACGTATACCACCTACCAAGACTAAATCATGAAGAAATAGAAAACCCAAACAGAACAATAATAAATAATTAGATGGTATCAGTAATTTAAGTCTCCCAACAAAGGGAAGTCCAGAACCAAATGGCTTCTCCACTGAGTTCTACCTACCATTTATAAAATAATTAGTACCAATTCTTTTCAAACTATTACAAAAAATTGAAGTGGAGGAAACTCTTCCTAACTCATAAAGCCAGCCTAAACCTCACACCAAAACCAGCAAGGACTCTATAAAAAGAAGAAAATTATAGGCCAATATCCCTCATGAACATAGCTGCAAATATCCTCAACAAAATACTAGTTAAGTAGGCTGGGCATGGTGGCTCATGCCTGTAATCCCAGCACTTTGGGAGGCCAACACAGGTGGATTGTCTGAGGTCAAGAGTTCGAGACCAGCCTGGCCTGTAACATGGTGAAACCCTGTCTCTACTAAAAATACAAAAATTAGCTGGGCATGATGGCGCATGCCTGTAGTCCCATCTACTTGGGAGGCTGAAGCAGGAGAATCGCTTGAACCTGAGAGGTGGAAGTTACAGTGAGCCAAGACTGCACCACTGCACTCCAGCCTGGGTGACAGAGTGAGATTCTGTCTCAAAAAAAAAAAAAAAATCCAACAATACATCAAAAAGATTATAAAGATAATACACCATGATCAAGTAGGATGTATCACAGGAATACAAGGATGGCTCAGCATATGCCGATCAATAAACATGATACGTGACATCAATAGCATGAAAGACAAAAACTATATGATCATCTCAATACCTGCAGAAAAATCATTTGATGAAATTCAGTATCCCTTCATGATAAAAAAAAAAAAAAAAAAAAAAAAAAAAAAAAAAAAACTCTCAATAAGTTAGGTATAGAAAGAAAGTACCTCAACACAAATAAGGACGTGTATGGCAGACTCACAGCTAACATCATACTGAACAAGGAAAGACTGAAAGCTTTTCCTCCAAGAAATGGAACAAGACAGGGATGCTTACTCTTACTACTCTTATTCAACATAGTTTGGAAGTCCTATCCAGAGCAGTCAGGCAAGAGAAAAGAGGAAGTCAAATTGTCACTCTTTGCAGACAACACAATCTTACAAATAGAAAAACCTAAAGACTCTAGCAAAAAAACTCATAGAACTGATAAATGAATTCAGTAAAGTTGCAGGATACAAAATCAACAGCAAAAATCAGTAGTGTTTCTCTACACGAATAACAAACTAGCTGAAAA